GTCATGAAACACCTGTCACACACACACACACACACACACACACACACACTGTCAAGACCATGTCTAAATCAGCAACTCCATCGCTAAACAACACGTCTGGAGACACTTGACTTAATAAGACCTGTCAAAAAGAGCACAGTGTAATATATATATATTATTATTTTTAAAAGAGCACAGTGCTTATTAGGGGGTATTATATAAATATATATATATATATATATATATATATATATATATATATATATATATATATATATATTATTATTATTATTATTATTATTATTATTTTTAAAAGAGTACAGTGCTTATTAGGGGGTATTATATATATATATATATATATATATATATATATATATATATATATATATATATATATATATATATAATTATTATTATTTTTAATATAAATTTAAATTTAGATTTTTATAAACAGATTCTTGTATAAATATTTAATGTTAATTATAGAAATCTAAATATTTAAAGTGTTTTTTGCCCAAAATTATTTTAAAATTATAAAACTTTTTTGTTGTTTTTAAATTAAATATATTCAAAATTTTTATTTAATAATGTATATTTATAAATATTAATAATATATTTATATTTATATTTATAAATATTAGTAATATTAAGTAAAGCTATACAGTTTACCTGTTTACTTCAAAACCTGTATACTACAAGTATACTACAGCATTTATTAGTTGACTATAGTTAATACTACAGTATGATACAGTATAGTATCATTCAAGACACTATAGAAGCATAAATATGGACATACAAATACGAAAAGACACGATAGTATACTTTAGGATTCACCACAGTATATTATATATTACATACTAGAATTTTTCCATTATAATGATATTGATAAACTGTAGTAGTATACTTTACAAGTTAGGCTACAAAAGTAAACTGTGGTTGCTATACTGCATCATATAGCCTAAATACTGTGTATACGCCATATAGAAAGCACTAGAACTAATAAAACTACAGATTACTATACTACAGGCCAAAACATGACAATATTTGTATTTCAATTTATCAGTTGTGGGGATTTTATAGTTGCTATCTTACCACAACCAATCACTTAACATTTTCATACAATACATTTTAATACAATACACCTCAGTTTACCTTCAGAACCTGTATACTTCAAGTATACTACAGCATTTATTAGTTGACTATAGTTAATACTACAGTATGATACAGTATATTATCATTCAAAACACTATAAAAGCACAAGTATGGACATACACATAAGAATAGACACAATAGTATACTTTAGGATTCACCACAGTATATTATATTATACTACATTTTACAGTTATATTATGAATTTATAAACTGTAGTAGTATTCTTTACAAGTTAGACTACAAAAGTAAACTGTGGAAGCTGTATCATGGTAGCCTAAATACTGTGTATACGCCATATAGAAAGCACTAGAACTAATAAAACAACAGATTACTATACTACAGGCCAAGACATGACAATATTTGTATTTCAATTAATCAGTTGTGGTGATTTTATAGTTGCTATCGTACCACAACAACCAATAACTTAACATTTTCTGTACTACAATACACCTCAGTTTACCTTCAGAACCTGTATACTTCAAGTATACTACAGCATTTATTAGTTGACTATAGTTAATACTACAGTATGATACAGTATAGTATCATTCAAAACACTATAAAAGCACAAGTATGGACATACACATAAGAAAAGACACGATAGTATACTTTAGGATTCACCACAGCATATTATAAATTATATACTACATTTTACGGCTATATTGATATTGATAAACTGTAGTAGTATACTTTGAAAATTAGACTACAAAAGTAAACTGTGGTAGCTCTACTGTATCATGGTAGCCTAAATACTTTGTATACGCCATATAGAAAGAACTAGAACTAATAAAACAACACATCCCTACTGAAAAAAACAGCTTAAACCAGCCTAGGCTGGTTGGCTGGTTTTAGTTGGTTGACCAGCCTGGTTTTAGAGGGGTGTTGGCCATTTCCAGGCTGGTTTTCAGCCATTTACAGCCTGGTCTTAGCTGGTCAGGCTGAAAAATGACCAGCTTAATCCAGCTAAAACCAGCTTGACCAGCCTGGTTTAAGCTGGACATAGCTGGTTTTGGCTGGGCTCTCAGCCAAAACCAGCTATGTCCAGCTTAAACCAGGCTGATCAAGCTGGTTTTAGCTGGATTTAGCTGGTCATTTTCAAACATGACCAGCTAAGACCAGGCTGGAAATGGCTGAAAACCAGCCTGGAAATGGCCAAAACCCCTCTAAAACCAGCCTGGTCGACCAGCTAAAACCAGCCAACCAGCCTAGGCTGGTTTAAGCTGGATTTTTCAGCAGGGATTACTATACTACAGGTCAAAACATGAAAATATTTGTATTTCTATTAATCAGTTGTGGTGATTTTATAGTTGCTATCGTACCACAACCAATCACTTAACATTTTCTGTACTACAATACACCACAGTATACCTGTATACTTTAGACTATAGTTATTAGTTGACTATAGTTATTACTACAGCATGATACTTCAATTAATCTATTGTGATTATTCTATAGATACTATGGTAACACAACAACCACAGCAATATAATGACTTTTCTACAATATACCATACACCACAGTTTACCTGTAGTAAAATACTAAAGTATACTACAATATTTATTAATATTTTATCAGCTCACATGCTGTAGCATTCAATAAAAGTTGTAAAAACTATAATACACCACTATAGTATGGCTCAAAATCACTACAGTACAGTTCTATAAAATACGCTAGTGTTTCTTCATGTGCGTTTTCCACTTCACTAGTGAGCTGAAGAGATCCAGGTTTATCCCTGACCAGCGGAGGGAAACTAGGTTAGTGGTTCACTTACAGCTCTTGGGAGCGAACATCTGCTGCGCTTGAGTCTGGGAAGAGGAGTGGAAAATCTGAAGCGTCTCTGGTGTGCAGAAACAAGCGGCTCCTTGTGTTCGTGGTCCTTAAACGGCCCGTCTGCAGGAATGCAAAGAGGACGGAGAGGAAAAGACATTTCCTTCGAACGGAAGTGAAACTTTGCGATGATGAAGCACAATCACGGACATCTACACACATGAAAAAACACCATATAACGTTACTTTTGGGTTTCACCACGGTAAATTTTAGTACGTTACATTATTTACTACATCTTACCGCTTATGAATTGACGAACGTTAGTAGTATAAAGTTACTTTACAACTTAGGATACAAACTGTACAGCTATTGTTAGAAGAATAACGTCACATCAAATAGAAAGACCTAGAAATAATATAGCAAGCGATTACTAGCCTACTACATCCAAAAACATGACAATTGATCAATTTAGCAGATATAATCAGCACAATATGCGAGTTTCGTTTGATTCGGCGGCTTTACGTTCTGTCTACATTCCAATATGGCGGCCCGACGTGAACAAATGCAAAATGTAAACACCATTTGATAAAAACAGTAGCCTAATAATGCTAAGTACTAGTAAAGTGTATTACAACTCTTTGTTAATGAGTGCTTCAGGGTAGTATTAACTATAGTGGAATGATTATGTAGTAACCTTTAATACAGTAACTGTGGTGTATTGTATCCTGCTGAAAAATCCAGCTTAAACCAGCCTAGGCTGGTTGGCTGGTTTTAGCTAGTCGGCCAGCCTGGTTTTAGAGAGGTTTTGGCCACTTCTAGGCTGGTTTCCTGCATTTCCAGCCTGGTTTTAGCTGGACAGGTTGGGAGCCCTGCTAAAAAAATCCAGCTAAAACCAGCCAACCAGTTTATGCTGGTTTAAGCTGGATTTTTCAGCAGGGAGATGACCAAACCAGCTTGACCAGCCTAGCCAGGCTGGGAGCCCAGCCAAAACCAGCTATGTCCAGCTTAAACCAGGATGTTCAAGCTGGTTTTAGATGGTTTTAGCTAGTCACTTTCCTGGAAACCAGCCTGGAAGTGGCCAAAACCCCTCTAAAACCAGGCTGGATGACCAGCTAAAACCAGCCAAACATCCTAGACTAGTTTAAACTGGATTTTTTTAGCAGGTATACCTGTAGAAAACTACAGTGGGTCATTGTTGAAGTGTAGTTGTTGTATTACCATAGCATAAAAATCCTTCATTCGATTTTCCTTCAGCTTAGTCCATTTATTCATCAGGGGTCGCCACAGCGGAATGAACCAACACAAACAAGAACATGCAAACTCCATACAGAAACACCAACTGACCCAGCCGGGACTCGAACCAGTGACCTTCTCGCTGTGAGGTGACAGTGCTAACCACTGAGCCACAGTGTCATATGGTTAAAACACTCTAATATTTACTATAAATGACTATAGTTGGTGGGCGATGCGGTGGAGCACTGGGTAGCTCTGTTCTAGGCGCTGGTTCAAGCCTTGGCTGGGTCGGTTGGCATTTCTGTGTTGAGTTTGCATGTTCTCTCCATGTTGGTGTCCAAACACATGCAGTATAGGTGAATTAGGTATGCTAAAATTTACCATAGTGTATGTGAGGGAATGAGTGTGTATGGATGTTTCCCAGTGATGGGATACATCCGCTATGTAAAACATGCTGGATAAGTTGGCGGTTCATTCCGCTGTGGTGACCCCAGATTAATAAAGGGACTAAGCGGAAAAGAAAATGAATGGATGAATACTATATTATTAGTAGGCCTATTGTTCATGTAGGGGCAAGTGACAACTTGCACAAGTCTGCAAAATAAACTGCTTAAAGATTTTGCCTGAGGATATTCAACCAACATGTTTTACATTTACACCTTCAGGTCACAACTCTAGACACGCTACAGCACATGATGTAACCACCATGTCTGGGTTTTTTGTATTTTTTACTAGCGTTAAGCAAGTGGGATGATAATATATAAGTAATCATGATGGTTTGTCTGAACATGCAGAAACACTGTTTGCCAAATGTGTCTTCGTCTTTTTGTATAAAAATAAATGTTTTTGAAGCAAGGAACGCAAAACTGCTGTTTAATTGTATCAAATGGCATGTTTATTAAAACATGTTGGAGCAAAAACAGACAAAATGTTCATTTTTTTTTGCTGTGAGACAACATAGATGACTTACAAAATGGTACAAAAGTTAGAAACAAGCCAAGAATACAAAACTATGTGGAAACACACTGAAAACACAGTGGATATTGCACCATTCTCATGTTAAAATTCACACCCATCAAGCCCTGAAATGGAAAAAAGGAAGCCATTTTTATTAGCTCTGCCTGTCTGAAGAGCAGCGTTGCTTCCGATATGCAGTATGCATGATATATATCTAGTCTCTGTGAGGGTTATTTATTTCCCTGGAAGTGCACGTTTGAGAATGTTCTCAGAGTATCTTAAAACAAGTGACAACTTTCATCAGTGAATCAAGCACAAACATCAATACAAAGATGCATACAGTTCACAAAAAGTCCCTTTTTACAATAGGCAAATATCAGCAGAGCGCACAAATTCAGCCTTAAACTCTGAAAACACAAACATGGATTTGCGTCAAGGCCACAATGATGGTTTTATCCATTCAGAAGCGTAGCTAGTGATTCTAGTTTGTTAACAGTGTGTTTATGTAAACAAACATATCTAAATCACACGTAAACGTCAGACATATTAGCCAAGCTTCCAACACTTTGAATGCAATCGGTGAAAAGTGCTTGTTGTCGTCAAACAAAAACAGATCAAAAGCCATTAGGTCAAAGACATTGCGAGTCTAGTTGGCTCATCCAAGAGTCCTGGAGTGCAGCTTTCTGCATATTTTTGTAACAGCGAGAGCTGGAGGACTGATTCAGGAATGTCTTGCATCTCGATGAGCGTCCTCAGTTAATGGTCTCTCTTCTTTCGCCACTTGAATTGGTACCAAGTGCCGTTTTTGATGCTTTCGCAGTTTCTTTCAAGCAAAAAGGCAACACGGCGTGTCAAAAATCCCACCAATAATCTTGCCATGTCCACATTTTTCAACATGCTCAAGTACGTTTTGAGAAAAATCAATGTGGTAAAGCCACTTCTCTTGCAAGAAACAATTGACAAAATGAAAACAACTGACAAAATGTTCTGCTGGAGTGGATGCAGGATGCACGGGGGTTATTTGTTGCTCTTGGTACCATTAAATCACATCCAAATTTACTCTTGCATTTGGACCGTGTTCTCTTTAACACATCTCAGTGTCAAGGGCACAGTTTTACTCCGACTATTCCTGTCTGCACGCCCTGATCACCGACGATGGAGAGGGAAGGGTCAATCAAGATCTTCAGCAGATTTTTTGACTCGACCCAGATTGGGAGTGTTTCCATCTGTTATCAGAATGGCAGCTCGCATCTCCTCATGGAGGAAGAACAAACCTCGGGTGGAGGTTTGTGGAGATTTTTGATCCCTGACTGCGCTGGTCAGGCGTGGTCACTCCTTCAGCGGGATGGACAATTGTCTGGTCGTCTGTCCATCGATCCGCACACATAATCAGGATGGGGATCAACCTATCAGGGAAAATAAAAATGTTTAATGATATAGGAATTTAAATGGGTTAGCAATAAACTATGATGAATGCCAGATATGTTTGGTTATACACAGATACTGGCCGATAAATGCTATTTTTAAAGTTATTGTTAGGCTTATATGGAATCTGAATGTGCAGATTTTTTTAGCCCATCATTAACTGTAAATGCCTGATATATCGGTGGACATCGGCCGATATATCGGCTGATAATGGCTATTTTTAATGTTTTTGTTAGGCCCACATGGAATCTGAGCACGCAGGTTTTTTAGCTTATTGTTGAATATATTAATCTACTTATGTAAATGTATATTTATTCAGTTTTTATGTTTAAATTTCTGGAATTGTTTTAACTAATATGCAAATGTTTATATGATTTGTTTACAATATAGTTTGTAAAAGTTGCCTTTTAGTAGACATATTATATGAGAGATTATTTGTTTATCAAACAATTGGATCTAATCGGATTTGCACTGCAAACCTTAAATAAAAAGTAAAAAGTTTTAAGTTTTTATTCAATGTTTTAAGGTTTGAGTCACTCACAAAATCATTCTGCACAAAAACACCCAAAAGTTACAGCAGATTGTGTCTGAGTCTAGTTATCATTATCACTGAAAACAATAAAATTAGGCTGATATCTACATAAATTATGTATTATTTTCGCTGGTTGAACCACTTCACATGCTTGTTTACTGGTACTTTTAAAAATTATTTGTCAAATATTTTAATTTTGGTTAAGTTCGGTTAAGATTTTGGTTAAGTGGCCATAGAAAAGAATTGGTTTGACTTTTGTTTGCCTTTTAATTTTGCAAATATGCAGAACAATTCTTAATATTTATAGTTACCGGTTAATATATCGATTATCTGCCAAATCTATAGAGTCATGCAGAAAAATTTAAATGATTTACAGTTATTGGCTAATATATCGGTTATTCAGTTGTTATTATTATTATATCCATATCTAAAGAGACATGCAGAAAAATGAATTAAAAAAATGATATTCATTAGCAAATGTATTGGTCATCTTACAAATCTAAAGAGCCATGCAGAAAAATTATTAATATTTATATTTATCGGCTAATATATCGGTCATCGGCCAAATCTAAAGAGTCATGCAGAAAATTTTAAATATTTATATTTATGGGCTAATATGTTTGTTACTTGGCAAATTTAAAGAGTCATGCAGAATCAGGCAAAAAATTATAAATATTTATGTTTTTAGGCTAATATATTGGTTTTCGGCCAAATTTAAAGAGTCATGCAGAAAATTATATATATATTTGTGTGTGTATGTGTGTGTGTGTGTGTGTATGTGTGTGTGTGTGTGTGTGTGTGTGTGTGTGTGTGTGTGTGTGTATATTTATCAGCTAATATATCGGTTAATATATGAGCTAATATATCGGCTAATATATCAGTTATCGGCCTAATCTAAAGAGTTATCAGTATCTGCCAAAATTCCATGTTGGTGCATCCTTAATATAAAGTATGAGGTCTAGAAACTCAACGCACCACGAGTTATCTGTTATTCGGTTGTTATTATTATATCCAAATCTAAAGAGACATGCAGAAAAAAGAAAAAAAAATTATATTCATCAGCAAATATATTGGTCATCTTACAAATCTAAAGAGCAATGCAGAAAAATTCATATTTATATGTATCGGCTAATATATCGGTCATCGGCCTAATCTAAAGAGTCATGCAGAACATTTTAAATATTTATATTTATCGGCTAATATATTTGTTACTTGGCAAATTTTAAGAGTTTTTTAATAAGTATTTTATATAGATAGATAGATAGATTAGATAGATTAGATAGATAGATATTTATCAGCTAATATATCAGCTAATATATCAGCTAATATATCGGCTAATATATCGGTTATCGGCCAAATCTAAAGAGTCATGCAGAACATTTTAAATATTTATATTTATCGGCTAATATATTTGTTACTTGGCAAATTTTAAGAGTTTTTTAATAAGTATTTTATATAGATAGATAGATAGATAGATAGATTAGATAGATTAGATAGATAGATATTTATCAGCTAATATATCAGCTAATATATCAGCTAATATATCGGCTAATATATCGGTTATCGGCCAAATCTAAAGAGTTATCAGTATCTGCCAAAATTTCATGTTAGTGCATCCTTAATATAAAGTATGAGGTCTAGAAACTCAACGCACCTCAGAATACAGAGGAGGAGGCTGGAAGCGAAACTCGTGAATGTAAGCATACAGTGGTCCTTCAATCTCATCTCTAACCGCTGGGAGATCAGAGCTGCATTGTCGCTCCTCGTCAGTGATGATTTCAGAGTAACTTGGTGGAGCTGGAAAAATTAAGAAGAAAGCCAACATTAGAGCAGAAACAAACCATTAAAAGCTTACTGTTTACAGAGCGTGTTGTGTAGAGTTTTCAAAAACGATTAGTGCTGTACCTTCGGGTCTTTCAGGCAATCCCAACCAGCTCATAGCCATGCTGCACTGACTGCTGACGGATGATGTTCTGCTGCCGAAAGAGTGCAGAGGAATGGTGCCGATGACCAGCGGCAGGTTTAGGGTCAGGTTTACAGCTCGAGGGATGTCCACATACACCTGATGAGAAATGAGAGGTTAGCTGCATTGTAGACATCATGGATCAGTAAAGGAAATTAAGAGCTGCACAATATATCGAAACAGTATCGTTAGCTTGATAATAATTTATGCAATATCTGTATCACATTAAGGTGCAATAAATTACATTTCTTATTCATGCATAGGTTACTGATCCAAATTTAATCAATCAAAAATTTAAGATATCTATCTTTAGCCCCGCCTCCCCGGTAGGCGCTGTTCTGCTTTTCACTAGAAAGGCCCATAAATGAACACTAATGGCAGGAGTCAAAATGAGTTACGAAAATGACGACAGCCAATTAAGAGACAGAATAGTTAAAGGTTTGCTGTCATTCATAGTGTTTTGAAGACTAAATGTTTGAGTGTATTTTATATATATATTTACATATATTTATATATATTTATATATATGTAACCCCGCTGGTCCTATGCCACCCAACCGTCTCTGAGCTGGTTTCGAACCTGCTACCTTACGCATGGGAGTCGGTTGCTCTAACAAGGAGGCTAAAGACCATGGCCTTTAGGAGTGAGGTTTACCTGCACAGCACCAACTAGCTGGCCTCCGTTACATATATATATATACTTATATATATATATAAATATATATATATATATATATATATATATATATATATATATATATATATATATATATATATATATATATATATATATATATAAATAAAGATATAGTATATATATATATATATATATAGTTGAAATGTTGTATAAACGCAATATCGCACTCGTAGCAGTCATAAAAAAAAAAGTCTAAATGTTAGCATCCTGATAAAATGTTTTTTAAGCCTGAATAAAATCTACCACTCGTTTATTTTGCTATGGTCATTAAATAAAAATTTAAAAATAACCAATAAAAATAGCATTTCCCAATGCAAATCTTATATCTCTAAAAATAATACTGTTGCATTAGTAAACCCAGTATCGTGCAGGCCTGACTCGAGTATAACCTTGTAGACTCACCATGAGTGAATACTCCACATGGATGATGCTGCAGTCCAGAATAGATGGTGATATTGGTGGGATCTTCAGCATTTTTCCATCCCACGTCTCAGTTTTTCCCGAATGTAGAGGATCTCCGCGCAGGTTAGCGATGAGCTGCTTGATCTCCTTGACCTTCCCTTTGGCGAAGAAGGTCTGGGTTTGGTAAAGAGCTGCTTTTGGCACGACCACGCGGGAAGAGCAGTTTTCAATCTCAGCGAAGATCTGGATGGTCTCTCCTGCAAACAAAGCCAAGCATGTTCACTCAATCTGAACAAGTGTCACAAATTAAAAATGCTTTTAAAGATAAGCTGTCTTCATCATCTTACCTGGAGTGTAGCCCTTCCTCTCGATTTTGGCACTTAGTGATACGGGTCCTGAGGTGCAAAACCAGCAGCAAAGAGTTTTATCCTTTGTGCCAGCTTGGGGAGACTGTGGAGGAGGCAGGGAATAATTTAGACACCAGCTTTTATTACACATACTACACAAAAATATACAAAAGACATACATTTACACATATACAGCATAAATATATATAATTTGTATTACGTATATCAATATAACCAAATATCTTATACAGTACATTCATGCATATATTTGTATACACAAAAATATACACAGTGCACACTAATATTTAGTTTGTAAATATTAGCTTTTATTTTGTATGTGATTATATAATCAGCACTAATATATAAACACATATACATATATATCCAAGTGTGTGCTTAAATTAAACAGCTCATCATTATCGGTTCTATTAAACATCAAATTTTATCAAGTTTATCTGACATAATTAAGACCAATATGAAAAATACTTTAGTGATTCAATGTAAATAATCACTATACTATAATTAAGTGTATATTATGGCATTCAGAACTGTAGTTTTACTACAGTAAACTGTGATGTATCATACTATAATACATCCAATTTTTACTTTATTTGTTTATATTACTATATTTGCTGTGTTACCATAGCTACTATAGAATCAAAGCAAAAGATTGATTTGTTTATATTATTATAGTCGTTGTGTTACCATAGCAACTATAGAATCCCCACAGATTAATTTATTTATGTTACGTTAGTTGTTGTGTTGCCATAGCAACTATAGAATCAAAGCAAAAGATTGATTTGTTTATATATACTAGTTCGTTGAGTTACCATAGCAACTATCGAATCACCACAGCAGATTCATTCATTTATATAACTATACTTGTTGCGTTAACATAGCAACTATAGAATCAAATCAACAGATCAATTTGTTTATATTATAGCAACAATAGAATCACCACAGCAGATTAATTTGTTTATAATACTAAAGTTGTTGTGTTACCATAGAAACTATAGAATCAAAGCAACAGATCAATTTTTATATATTGCTGCAGTCGTTGTTGCCATAGCAACTATAGAATCACCACAGCAGATTCCTTTGTTTATATTACTATAGTCGTTGTGCTACCATAGCAACTATAGAATCAAAGCAACAGGTGGATTTGTTTATGTTACTACAGTCGTTGTGTTACCATAGCAACTATAGAATCACCACAACAGATTAACTGAACTACTTCACTACAGTATTACACTATGGTATTTGTCATTTTGTATAACCATGTTATTTTAACCTAAATTAATAAACTGTGATAACGTGAGAACCGTTGAAGGCCTCTGAATTAATTTGAGCCTCTAAATATCACGCCACGGTTTGCGCAAATGTTTAGTTTTACACTAAAACACGATTAGGCATTAAAATGTTTCTGTCTTACCAGTAACAATGGTGTGTTGATGTCAATGTGCTCGAAGACGGTGAACTCTTTCTTGGTCTTCATGGGCAGAAGCCATTGCCTGTGAAGCTCTGCCTTCACCCAGTACCTAACGCTGCCATGTTTGCCTTCAAAAGACGTCGCCAAAGGCCTGAAAGGAGCCATGAAAAAATAATGTTAGCGTTTCAGTCATTATACATTATATATGTGTATATTCAGACAGCAGCGTTACTTACGTCTGGGGCAGTTCAAGGCTGAAGGGAAACTCGTGGCGGCCTGAGTGAAGAACGGTGAAGGCTTCATCGCAGCAGTCGTCATCTACAAGAAAAAAAAGAATAAAATTTGGTATACCAATATATCATACCTTTACAAAATACCTAAAAGACTCCTAAACACAAGACAAACACCCCACAGTGTCATTATTTCCCTTGTTTCAAAACACAACCAATTCAATTCAATTCAAATCTTTATTTCTATAGCACTTTTACAATGTAAATGAGTTTTAAAACAGCTTAACATATGAGTTATTGTAAATTGAAACTGTGTCAGTCCATTTTCCAAGTGAAATAACTTTAAACATCATCATGATTAAATATGATATGAATTTTTGGCCTCAGCAATCAAGGACTGTACAGAAAAGTGTCTATATTTAAGCATATATACAAGTATAATCAATAAGTTAGTATTTCCTTTTTCTTGCCGCACTGTATTTATATTGTAAAATACAATGAGATTTAGTATTAAGTATTTAAGGTAGGATTTAGTCATTAATATCAGTCTAACACAAACGTTAGATTTTAACTGTAGCTTAAATGAAGTATACATATTATTAGATAACTATTAATTTTGAATAATGTAATTCATAACTAAAAATAAATTCAATAGTAGTATAGGAATTTAACTTAACCAATCTTTGGTTAATGTTTGGTTTTTGTATTTATACACTGTAAAAAATTCTGGGTTCCACAAAATCAACTTGTGTTGGGACAATATAAAGCAATTAACTTATTAGTTTTTACTAATTTAAGTGGGTTGAACATAAAACAATTAAGTTGTCACAAAAAAACTCAAGAATTGTGTTGTTTCAGCTCATTTTAAAGAAGTGGTTTGATCAAATAGCAAAAAAAAAAAAATAATTCAGTTTTGAGTGTATGCAAATTACATTTTTAACTTAACAAACCATATTTGACCCAGTTACAACAATCCAACATTGTGTGCGTGTAATTTTTGTCACATTCTGTTAGTTCTCCTCCACCAACAAGACTGTTGTTTATAACTCTGGTCCCAAATAACATTCATAAACATGTTTTCATTCACATTTTTAAGAACAAGCATATGTAACATCTCTGTCCTTTATTTTATCGCCACCTCAGCATTTCCACAGCCTGCTGTAAATAACCGAGTCTGTCTGTGTGTCACTGAAGGCAGCCAGCAGCTAGAGAGGACCGGACTGAACCGGCGCGAGCAGCCGCTCTCAGCCGGATTTCCCCATGCATATATTACTAGGCGGCTGCTGATTGGCTGAGCCGAAATGTCTTTTCCTATTGAATACGCCCCCATAAGGAAGCCACATGTGTATTGCAGCGTGGTTTAAGCTTTGGGTTGAGGTGTAAAGAAGAAAATCAAAGACACGCTTAAAGAAATACAGACAAAGATGAAATGCAATTAAACTTATTTTATTACAGACACATACTTGATTACAGAAAATACATATTTTAACGTGATAGCTGTTACACAGTGTGTACAATCAATTCAGTTTGACAGGAGAAAACCAAAACACAATATGATTTCACTAAATAAGTTAAAATAAATCATTCCAACAATCCATTGCTCGATTATAATGTGTATTTAAGTAAATACGATTAATTAAAGTAACGCGACAGCTTAAAAATGTCATGTTTGCCAACTTTTAATCAGTCTTGATATGCTGCGGATAAGTTGTTGCAGTCTTGACACTTCTGCAAAGATATGATATCACCGGGGGCACACGAGCACTTCCACCAATCAGAGAAGAGACAGGATTGCGCTCCGCCAATCCGCGAGCAGAGGCTCGGTCAGCACAACCCCCCTCTACACCAGTTTCTGAACAGGTTTAAACCGCTTCGAACAAAGACTACAAACTTACTAGAATCATCTATGAAAGAAACTATAAAGCTTAAAACCAAACACGAACGCAACGATATGAATACAAAACAAGAGTTAACACGGTAACCGTGTACAGCAGACATCGAGGGAAAATGTTTAAAGTTAAACGGTAGTTTTGGACAGGAGGGTATGCAGTATATAGGTTGGGGTTTTATAACAAACAAACGCGTATAAAACGATAGTAAATTCAGATTAAGCTACTTTAAACAACTAATTTAAAATCTCATTTAGCATTTGTGTTTTTCTTCACGTACTTAAGGTTTCAAATGAAATATTAGACTAACTATTATTGTAAATGAGCAACTATTATTGGCTATCAACATATTAATAAATGTTACAGTTTCTCATTTCACTAATGAGAGGTATATACATATATACAAACACTAATAGGTATATACATTGACAATTACAAGAGATAACATATAAACAATAGGAGCACACATCTGTCACTGCAGTCCCACACACATTAATACATACATATTATGACTACTTATTAATAATAAACACTCCTTACCTCTGTCATGTAATATAAGCACATCTCTGTGGTTTAAATACTCCACTTCTTCGGTGAAATGCCGTGTATATGCCGTGTTAGATCCAGCACTGCGCGATTCCGTCCAGCGAACTTTCGCCAGTCCCTTTGCGTGGATGTTTAACGATCTAACGCGAATTTCTCCGGTGACTTCAACAATCACCCGACCTGAGACAAAGTCCCCACTGGCAAACACCGGGACGTTGCTGTCATTGAGACAGTCGTAGCTGACAAAGAAGTTTTTCACCTTCCCGAGCACCATGATGGAGATCTTACTCAGCTGTAAGATAATTCAGAATAAAAACCCCGGCTGTTTTACTCATCTGTGAGGGTTGTTTTGCCGTGCAGAAAGGCTGCAGGCAGGTTATTTGCTATAGTTGCCTGCTGTTCATTGAGTTGTGCTGGAACTGCATGTGAAGATGCAGCGGTCTCTCTCTTGAGTTCTGCTTCTGACTCTGCTTTAATACCTCGTTTGGTGGAAAAACAAGCAGACTGCGCATGCGCAATCGATAAGACTTCTGCGGCTGCTGCTGGACTCTTCCTCCGCCTCTCAGAGGTCTATCAATCTTATTTTACTTTTGTACTGTCAATCCTTGAACAATAACAGAACGGCATTAATAACTTTGAAAATTACACAAAAAGACTGGGATAACAATCGATTTACATTCACAATCTACATTGATATTGCTAATAATAACAATACAAAAAAACTAGATAATTAAATACATTAATAATAATAATAATAATAGAAAACATTGATAATTAAAAACAATAATAATAATAATAATAATAGAAAACATTTATAATTAAAAACATTAATCATAATAACAATACAAAAATAGATAATTAAATAAATTAATATTAATACCAAGGCAAAAAATAGATCAATAAATAAATTAATTAATTAATAATAATAATAATAATAATATTAAAAACAATACAAAATAGATAATTAAATACATAAAAAATAATCACTGTATTTATCTATTTTTTGTATTTGTATTATTATTATTTATGTATTTATTGATTTTTTATTTTTGTATAAAAATATGAAATCATTAAATACATTAATAATAATAATAAAAAACAAAAAATAAATAGATAAATACAGTAATAATAATCACAATACCAAAAATAGATAACAGATTAATATTAATAACAATACAAAAATAGATAATTAAATACATTAAAAATAATAATACAAAAATATATATTTTAATACAATAATGATAATAACAATACAAAATTAAATAGTTAAATACATTAATAATAACATTAACAAAAATAAGTAATTAATAAATGAATGCTATGAAAAATAATACAAAAATAGAGATTTTAGTACGTTAATAATAATAATACAAAGAACTTCAACAAAATCATTAAATAGATTGATAATAATAATAACAATACAAAAATATATAATTAAATACATTAATAATAATACCAATGCAAAAAATGGATCAGTAAATACATTAATAATATTAGCAATGCAAAAGATAGATCATTAAATACATTCATAATCAGGGCCGGATTAACCAATGGGCCTTATGGGCACAGGCCCAGGGGCCCGTGCGCACTAGGGGCCCCTGCGAGGGGGGAGAAAAAAAGACAATTTCGGAGTGTCTTTTTAGGCTAATTGCAAATAGCGCATCCAGTTGAACTAAGCTATTCAGGGTTTACGCCTATCGATGCCTGATTGATAGAGACAAGATGAGTAAAGAGCAGTGAAATAATACAGTCGCAGTGGCGCACCTTGTAAGGCACACAGCATCAACTTTTGACGCGATTATACATAACATCGGTTCGAATCCACCATCAGTTGAACTCGTGCTACTTTTTTTTCTCCCCATTACATATCAGATTGGAAATATATTTATTTTTAACAGGAAAGAAACATTTTTTTAAAATAATGCAAATGTGATATAAAGTCACAAGTGTCTCGTGGGTATTTAATAATGTTTAGCCTTATTATAGGCGCCTGCCGCGCCTCCCTCTCTTCAAAAACTCGATTGCTCAGACAACTGTATTTCCTCTGAGCAAAAAAATCGCGATCACATATTAATATTATTATTATATTTAAATTGCCTTTCTTTCTTTAACTAAACAGAATGCTGTAATTGGTCAAGCGCGGAAACGTCAGTTTTGTAATAACCCGCACTAAACTGAGCGGACTTTAGTGTAACGTTATATCTGTCATAGATCAAAAATGAGTGGACAAGTGGATTTAGCAAACGCGAGAGAAAGGAGAGGAGGCATCTTTATTGAGGCATTTTCCATACACACCTTCTTTAAACAGACCCGTGATCAGGAGAATGAGGGTACAGAAGAAGACGTTAACTTTAAATGATGAGTAGCTAGCATTAACCAGGCAGAGGAGGCTAACGGCAGCGCAGCGCGGACTGGATTCATAAGCCGCTTTTCCACTATCGTGCTGAATCGTTCTTTAAACAGAACTGTTCCATTCCGTGCCAAACCGGGCCAGACAGCACGGATACGGTTTCATTTTCCACTGTCGTGCTGCGACAAAGCTCTTTAAAACATTACACAAAACGCATCAGTAGTTCCCTTGGTAACGCAATGTAAACGGCTCCCTTTGTTCAATTAAAGTTAAATAAGAGCCGAAACTATTTATTTATTTATTTTTCATAAAAGCAAAAGCATGTGACTAAACACTGTTATGCCGCTCTATCAAATAGGGGTGCTAAATGTGCACCCTTATTTATTTATATGTTGCGCAGCTCTGGCTAAATTTTATTTGGAGGGAAAATTACCAAAATGTAACGTGATGATTAAAAATAATTGGAGGGGAAATAAATAATATTTAAAATCTCTGAACATAACAGAAAAAAAACAATGATAAGACAACAATAATAGTGCATTTGCATTATAGTGGCAAAAATATCATTTTGGACAGGCTTTGTCAAAGGTGAGCGGGCACTTTCACTAATAAAAACACAGCACATAAATTATTTCATTTTTAACAATTAATTAAATTACACTGCGTATTTATATCAAAAGTTGATAATGATATAAAATATACTACATTTTGATAGTAAAATGAAACCATTTAAGCGATGGTTGTTATTTGTTTTACTATTCAAACATTAAATAACGAATGCAGCAAGTGAAAAAAACGAATATGAAACAACACATATATATTGCAGGATTTAAAGCATATAAAGCACTAAAATGCTGCTTTATTATCTTTTTATTTTGATCATTTTATTTTTATTTTTATAATTATTTTTGTGTTCATTATTAACAACACTGTAAAAAATTTCCAGGTTTTCACAACAAGTTACTGTAATTTTTCACAGTAAATTACATTAGTATCCCTTCACAGTATTTAACTGAAAAAATCACAGTAATATGTTGTATTCATAATTTTATTGTGAAATTACGGCAGGTAGCATGATTACAGCAAATTACTGTGAAAAGGGCTATATCTTTTGTACGTTAGTTATAGAAATTCAAACCTTTTTTTAATTAAACGTAGAAATTAATACAAATTAACTTTTAACAAATAATAACAGAATGTTATAGCCCCCAAAACGATTTGGTTACCAACATCTTTTTGGTTGTACTGCACCTTTATTTAATTTTATACAGTTAACATAGAATAGGAAAGAATATTTAATGAACATAACTGTGTGCTTAGCCAAAACATAATAAACTGGAATAAAAAAGTAATTAATTAATGAAACCAAAGACTGTTAAACAGCCAACAATTATTTCAATGTCAGGGTAAATGTCTGCTTTAGACTGTTTCATGAGTATTAGGCACATGCCATCGCCTGGAGGTCACTAATCTCAGAATTATATATATATATATATATATATATATATATATATATATATATATATATATATATATATATATATATATATATATAATTATTATTATTATTATTTTTTTAAATCTATATAAATAAATCACAGATTAGAGTTTTAAACAACTACATTCTAGCATGAAAAACAGTTAAAACTTCATTTTCGGACGCATATAGAGCCATTGAAGACGGGGCAATTGTCCCAATGTCTAGCCTGAAGACAGGCGCCTCTCGGCGGATACATGAGTAATGAGCGCCGTTACCGCCTGGAGGTCATAGATCTCCGCTACCGGCAAAACACACTTAAAATTACACACAATCTTTACTAACAATCCACAGATTTCAGTTTTAAAGAATTACATTCTCGCATGAAAACATGTTAAAAGTTTATTTCATTACAGATTAAAAGCAATATTTATAATATTATGTGCCTTCTCATCCACCATTACAGCTTGATGCAGCTTGGTGCGAAATGAATCCTGGGACGAAAAAATAATAATTCTCAATACACTCCAAACGAACTTTATTCTTATTGTTAAAGTCAGAGATATGTAATATTTTGAATGGCAAAGAAAAGAATTAACTTTATATTTCAATCAATATATCACTTTTGCACTGCTTCGGTTCAGGACTCGTGTGACATTGAATCAGATTCAGATATTTTATCAGACATGCTCATAAGCTCATAGTCATCAACATGCAATTCGTGTACAAGCAGTACACGAACCAAGCAATATAATGAAATATTAATGAATTATATGTCTGCGTCTTACAATATTATACAAAAAGGAATCGGTTTCAGGCGAATTCGACTCTTTACTGTTCACTTAAAGGAGCCGATTCATTGAACAGAACTGACTCGACTTGACCGCAAACAAGCGCCATCACCACAGACAACGCCTCCGTCGTCTCTTCACCCAACGGATTCATCCTCGGTAAGTGTCTAAATGTGACTTTTGTCCGTTAAATGATTGTTGTATGTGTATTTCTGTATAGTGCATGTCATTTAACAGGAATTTACCGAGTACTTTAGTTGTACTCGCACATACAGGGTTTAAGCGCGCCTTTTTTTTTTAAACAAGAAATTAACGACGCCAGATGGTGCTTGTAGTGTTTTCTGAGGTATTAGCATAACGTTAACGTTAGTTCCTAAAAAAAAGGGGAATTTTCTTTAATTAACTTCTTGTTAACTGCATTTTCTGTTTCAGTACAAGTCTGAAGTAAAGGTGAAATGACTATAACGTTAAGGTAAGCTCTGACCTTCACTTAAGTTAACGTTGCTGTTAACAGTTAACGTTAGTCACCATCATGTACGTTAATTTTGTTCACTGTAACGTTAAGTTAGTTAAATAAACTAATCTCATTATGAAACAAGTCTTAACTGTTTTATTAAATGAGGCTTATAATACAATTCAGTTGTATTCTTTTAAACTAACACTAACACAGTACATATTGTATTTCTCACTGGTGTTAATGCATTGCTAACATTTACTAATGAGAAGTAATTGTAACGTTATATTGTCACTAACTGTAGATTTTATTTTTTTGGTGTTCAGGTGTACCTGATAATAGCTGAAGTGTG